TGCGGACCCCTTTAGATTATAAGTGTGGGTATTAACATATTTTTGATTTAGCATGCTTATTTTTCATGAGCCCCTTAGACATAGTCCGCAGGCTCCCAGGGGTCCATGGACTGCAGGTTAAAAACCACTGATTTAAAATAAACGTGATTCATAAGACTTAAGTGATACGTAGCTAGAAACTTCCAATGTACAAAACTGTCCGTCTCCACTTGGTTGCTGGTCAAGAGTCTCCTTGAAGTACATGAAACACAAGAGCAAGAAGAAAAAAACCCTAAATACAAAGGCTCATCTCTCTTCCACAGGAATCTTCTGACTGTCATCATCCAACTTCAGTGCTTGATGGCACTTGAGGTCCTGTACCCAGGGTAGTCAGGTTATGACATCTCTTCTGGCTGATCTGGGCCTACCTTGCCTTCAAAGTTCTGCGTATTTGCATGTTGTGTGCCTGTTAAGGGTGGCCTTAGAATGTGACCGAGTCCCACTGCGTCTGGAGTCCTCCACATTTAATTCCTATTGATTAAGATGACAGATTTTACTAGGAGAGGATTAAAAAAATAACTGCAAGAATTGTTTATGGTTCCCCCCACCCCCACACCCCCCCAAATGTGTCCCTGGAAAGAAAATTGACACTACTTCAGTTAATACCAGGACTTACATATGCAAATCCAGGGCTTGGATGGATTTTCACACAAGGTCTGTCACTGATGCATGCAGTGTTCTGAAAAGTGTGAGCTGAAGGCTGAATGCATATCACAAAGTGGTTAGGAGAGTCCCTTTGAAAGCCAGGTCATCCTGCGATAGGCGAAGTTCTGAGTGCGCCATGGTACAGGAAAATCAAAATCTTCTTCTTCTGGTTCTTGCTCCAGTCTGTGGTATGGTGACAGCCTGCTTTGGCTTCTACGTCAGATCGATACGGTTCTTTTATATAAATCATAAATATTGATGGTTTTAGATTCTGTCTCTTCACTCACAAGCGTGTTCATGAAAAACAAGCTATGGCAAATCAGCCCAGTATCTGCACTGGTGCAGAGATTGGCATAGCTGCACTGCAGTCAGCAGAGCTATGCAGATTTGGGGTCTGGCTCTTTGATTTCAGATTTTACATTGCTGATTGAAATGACCCTTGAAATTACACTTGAAATTCCTTTAGTCCAATCTAAAATTATTTTAACCATGTCAACTCACATTACAAGCAGTGTGTAAAAATGTTTTTTTTTTCATTGGCACTTATAACCAAATTTTTAGACTGACATTACCTGGGATAACGAATCCCAAAGTACTGAAGTGAGCACAATCTAATTCATCTTACTGTAGAAATCTAGCTATCTTGTACAAGATCCTGCCCAGTAGAAGGCAGTAGCTGCTCAGCTTTGAATGGCTCATCATTGTTAGTGGACTATGCTTACTTCCACTAAATCTTCCTGGATTTAAGACTAATATGAGCCTTGAATTTCCAAATAAAGTTTACAGGAGATATTTATTTCTCTGCCTTCTCAATTCTTATGGTTCCTCCCCAATGGTGTGTCTTTGTTTTCTAGGCAAAAGAGTTTTAGATTTCCTTCTACGATAACGAGTCGCTATGCTGTTATTCTGTCACACGTTGGCTGTAGCTTTCCTTCAGATCTTTGTCCTCTCCGGGAATTGGACTCTAGCCAAGAACATCAACTTCTATAATGTGAGACCTCCACTAGACCGTAAGTAGCCAGTGGTGGTTTGCTTGTGTGTGTGAACAAAAGTTAGTATTTTAGCTATCAGCATTTTCAGTTCAATATGCTCTTTTCAGGGGCTTGTAAAGCGGCTCCCTCAAGGCATAAGGCATTGCCTATAAATTTTAGAACAAAACATTTGGCTAGTTCATATGACTGCAGTATAAATGAAATGACTATAGAGACAGATTTAAGATACGGCAATCCAAACTGCTCAGGTTTTTAGATTTTTGGATGCATTTATTGTACCATTACCAGTACATTTTACAAGGTAAATTATGCAGAATACTTCTAGTCAGTAATCTGGCCTAGAATTTCCTGTGTGTAACCTGGCTGTTTTTTCAGGCAGTGGAGGGAACTGAAGTGTGTTGTGTGCTTTTAAAGTTGGTACAAAATGGAGGTAATTAAATAGGAACCGTGAATGACAATAATGATATCATGTCTGCTTTTTACCTTGCACTGTGTTACTCTTTCTTTTCATCCAATTGGATAAGATCCTTGTGATAAAAAGGAATAAAGCAGTCAAGATAGTTCTGTATCTCAGGTGAGAAGTTAGATACAGAGCTGCCAAAAGTTTGTTTAACTATATTTCAGTATATATATAAAACTGAATTTGAAAGCAGCTTTCCTTATCCCTTGTAAGGAATTGTTTAAAATGGAGGACTGGGATTTGGAGCTTTAAAGCATTTGTTGCCTCAGCTAATGAAACAAAAGCTACTTATTTGTTTGAATAACTATATATGTACATGTGCACAGACACCTCCAGATATCTGTTGCACATACTTAATAGGCATGTATGTACAGGGATAGTGTCTCCCTCCCTCTTCCTCCAGCCCCCCACTTTCCTCCACTTTAATTGTGTTTTAGTTGTTAGAGAGATAGAAAAGGCTAACAAGTATTTGGAATTTAAGGTATATTGTAAAACCTTTTATGAAGTTTACAAACTAGTATTTATTTGTTCAGTAGTCTGTTCTTCTCCCCCTCCACTCAATATCTGTGTGTGTGTGTGTGTGTGTGTGTGTGTGTGTACTTAGACATACACATACATACATACACCCCCCCCCATGTCTATATAAGTATTTTGGTTAACAAATGTAGCTAAATCAAAGCATTTGTTGGTTGATGTTTACATTTTTTATATTTAAAAACTTACCATATTTTAATATTTTTAAAGCTACTCCATTTCCAAACAGCTTTAAGTGCTTTACATGTGATGATGCAGTTGACAATTACAACTGTAACAGATGGGCTGAAGACAAATGGTGTCCTAAAAGTAAGTGTGTTTGTGTTAGGGAGATTCTTCAGGGTATTTAGTTTTGTTTTTTCCTCACTCAACCATCTCACAGACATCTAGTTAAATAGGATTAACTTACCAGCTCACTGATGCCCTACGGATATTATTAGTAAGAGTGAGTCTTATGATTTTCTCTTGATGAGCGGTTGATTATGCTAAGAAACAATGCAAGTCATGCTGAAAACCTCTTATGCTTATATTTAATGTCTAATCGAATGTGTATTATTTTATTTATTTGAGATTTATATCCTGGCCCATCTACAAAGGCTCAGGGCAGCTTAAAATAAAAGACAAACAACCCACAGGATACGAAATAATAATAGACTCCCCAAATGACACCCCCCAAAACTTTGAAATTCCATCCTATCCCACCCCCTCCTGCTTCCCTGCTTATCGCCCAGGAAAGCAAACCCTTCTGTGGAAAAAATCTTACGTATCATGCGAATGCCAAGCTGTTTGCTACAGTGGGTGTAACTGGAAGTTTGCTAACCTGAATTCTACATTTGTTGGCTTGAAGATTTTAGGGAAGTGTAAATAAGTATCTTAGCCTTAAAGCAGAACCTGTTTTTCATATATGGAGGCCATGGTGGTGATGTGGACTGAGTGGAAACTACAGGAGTTGCACTTATGCATCAAATTGAGCTTTTGGTACATTCCAAATAAACACTCAAAAGACAGTCCTGTCCGATCCTTCAGTTTAATTTTATCTTCCTTTTCTGTAGTTTTAAATCAGATCAATGTAATATGTCATGGATACATTTCTCATTTTCCAAACCTGTTTTTTGTTCCTATGAAGAAACATAAACATGTTTCACTTGGTTGCTTTTATAGCTTTAAACAAATTCCTGTATCATGCTAATCGTGTTTGCATTTCTTTTCAGTTTGGCCATTTAGTTTGGTACTTAACTTGAAAACAGTTTGCACTCACCAAAGTGTTCCACTACTAGCTCTAAGAGTCAATTTCTTAATTCATTTTTATGTTCAAAGCTTAATATCTTGCTAACTTTAAGCCTGGTGTCTTTCACAAAGTTAATGTAACAGCTACTTCCAAATATAGTTTAGATTTGTTTCACAGTTGCCATGTAAGGATGATGACTTTACTTAGCTATTTAGAAAGCCAAACATAATACTAAGCTGGCAGTTTGCAAACTTGGCACATCTTTCACATATATGAGCATTAATTATTGTATTTTATATGTGATCACACAACTGGAAGACTTCAAACTGGAGCATCTTCTAGTAGCACAGAAACATTTGAGAGTAAGCAACACTGCCTGCAATGACCAAAGATCACACTTGTAAGAGAAAATTATGGGGATACAAAATAGAAAATGGAAACCACTCTTCAGAGTGGAGGAAGGAGGAAACAACGTTGGATGGAAGGGCTCTATGAGCAGGGGACAAAGATAAGATGGAGGAGTCAAAGAAAGAGATTTGGATGAAGGACTTGTTTAAACATGGAGCTGAGGAGGAAACAAAGAGGGGTTCAAAAGGGAAAGAAAGAGTAAGGAAGAGAAACATGAAATAGTGCAAACTTGAGTGGACATTTAAACATTTGGCTCAGGAAGAAAGGCCAAGTTGCCACTGTATTTATGTTTTAGTTATAGATAAACTAAACTAAATTGAAAAATGTTTGCAATATGTTAAGCCACCTTACCTCCCTAAACTGGCACATTACTATTTTTTCTGTGTGGGCATATCTTGTCAAGTTTCTCAGATATGTAAGAAAATTTGCATTTCATGGAATAAACCTGACTCGGATGTATTTCATAGATACACAGTACTGTTTAACAGTTCATCTCTTCACAAGCTATGGAAAAAGCACATCGGTCACTAAGAAATGTGCTACCAGAGACGAATGCCACTTTGTTGGCTGTCGCCATCACAGAGAGACTGGCTATACGGTAAGAATCAGTTTTTCCAATGAAGGAAAATGTATGGCTTTCTAAATAAAGATCCTATTCAGACCTCATTCATTATCAGATAAATCTCTGGATGAAGAGAATGGGGTGTGTCAAATGAGACTGTCTTAGGTTTAAATCATGAAAATCAAAACTGCAGAATATGCTAGAATTTTTTACTTTTCTATGGGTTTGTCTGCACTGCAGTCCAGAGATGTGATTGCAACTTATCTAGATGTACCCTGTCCAGGTTATATGCTGACAGCTTTGTATGTGCAGTGACATGGGCTTAAACTGCCAAGGCTTGCTCCAAGTTCCAAGCAAGCTTGTGCAGCCTGCACTGAACTTCCTGCTGCTGCACCTCTGTTGCTAGACTTCACTTCAACTACACCTCTGGAATGAAGTATGTACATAGCTGCTGGAGAAGGTAAACTTTAGTTTTCAGGAATGGTATGTTCTTGGAGTGAGGAAGGTTCAGTACTCCCATTCCATGGTACCAGGTGGAACCACAGCTTCTTTAGATGGGGCCTAACTTTTGGGCATAATGCAAGGGTTTTTGTTTAATGAACAAGTGATAACTTAAATGTTCAAGTTTATTGAACAAGTAATGAACAAAATGCGGCATCTGCAGTGTAGTTGATCCTGTGGCAATTGGAAGGATGGGTGGATATTCACAAGCCTATTAAAATAAGCCATAATCTGGCAGATATGATGATAATGCAGTGAGCTACCTTCTTGAGCAGGGGTAGGTGGGCAAAATATGGCCTGCAAGCTGGATCCAGCCCAACAAGTGATTTTTTTTTTCTGGCCTACGGCAGGTCCCTCATCCCCACTCAGCCCAGATGTGGGGGGCAGCCTGGGCCATGGACCATGTGGCTGGTCCCACCAACCCCAGGCATGGAGGTGCTGCCTGGCATAGAGTGCAGCCTGCCCTATCCCCACGTACAGTTCTCAGGCACTCTGGGAGCTGTAGTCCACAGGGCCAGGCAGGGCAGGGGCAGTGTGGCAGCTGGACTTGGCTTTCTGGCAGTCCCCCGTGGCGGTGGCTCCTTCCAGCTGCCACTGCCAGTGTCTCTGCCACCACCACTGGGCCTGGAGCTCCATCCAATGCCTCCACTGGTGATAATGGGGTTGACAGGCCCGGGGCCAGGTAGGTGTA